GCTGGTTTCTCCAACCCGGATTATTCTTAGAAAGGTAGGAGTCGATACGAAGGGCATCTCCGCGATTTTGAAGCTTGCCCTTTGGACCTTTGGACCTTTGGTCTTTCGTTCGCCTCCATTTCCTCTCCCACTCTCCCTTGTATACAGATTTTCTTTTTCGCGTTATTGGAAGACTCTGCGGCTTCCGGCCGCGGAAACTCAACCCTTCGCCCACGCAAAGAAACGGAAAAGCGGGAAGAATCGCGTAATACTCTGATGGGAGGGGCGTGAACATTTCCCCTTCGGATTACGGTGCGCCTCGCCGAGATTACACGGTATAACGGAGGGGAGGCGACAAGGTGCGACATGTGTCGGATCAGCATCAGGAAGGTCGAGGCGGATCAGAAAGATCGAGGCGGATCAGGAAGGCCGAGGCGGCGAAGTGTGTAACAGGCGTCGCTAATTCATTGAATCCCGATTCCGCTCGGATTCCTCCCACCCTCCCTTTTCTCTCTTCATCTCCTCGTTACACCCATTCCGGGCTTTTTTCTCTCTCTTTTTCATCCACTGCATGCATCAGACTTGCATCTGTGACGGCGGATGGGGAATACAGTGCAGGCGCAAAGGGCAAAAGGGCATAAAGGGCACGCGAACAAACGGATCAATTCCCGTTCTCTCTGCCCTGTGCCTCGGAGTCCTGGCTTTATTTACATGAGATGAATACCAAAGCTGATATTTATATTTGTTTTTACTTCAATTCTGAATGCTCTGATGTTCCGCCTTCCATTCTGCTTTCCTCACACCCAAACGGAAAAATAAAAATAAATGTCGAAGACGACATTATAGTATTAAATCTCAAAACTGCCCCCAATAAGTTTTATCTCACGTATATTTTATTAAACTTGGAGCTCGATCAATAGTAATAAATTGATACCATCGCAATGCTAACGGGAACAGTTTCCTGGATGACCTGAAAGGAAGGACATCACGCAAAGTGTGTATCTGACTGGATACGAACGAGGAGCCAGCTGTGTGTCGGTAACGGGACCTTCGTTCCCCTGGCCCCAAGAGACATTGCACAAAGCAGAACAGACGTTATCTCGGGTACGAATCGAGAGATACGGCCAAGTGTATTTGTTGGGTTGCTCTTTTCCCTGCCAAAATGGAACCACGGGAGTGTGGTTCGCGAACGACGGCCGAAAAAGTTGATACGTTACGGATATGGGGGGGGGGGGGGGGCATGCATTTAAAAACCGATCAGGGTGTAATTTGTGATGTGTGGGAGGCACGTGCGAGTCGCGTGGCGACGTCGCCTTCCGATTCTTCCCTAACATGAGCGTATAATTCCCTTCACGTGCCTCGTGATATATGCTGTGCTTCCACAACCCACCGTGAAATCCAAACTTGATTGCGTGAATTCGTCACACCTACGCATCTCGCCTCTGCACGCTGCATAGGAAAGCCATTATTAAGCGAGCTTTCCCACGGATAGACCCCAAACAATACAGCGCATCATCAAAAAGCCTGCGCAGGCCGATAGCAAGGTCTCGTAATGGCCAATTTTATCGGCCGTAACGTGCATTTGCTGCAACGTCGACGGGGCTTCCCAATTTCGAAAATGGTGTTATAACGTCCGATGCTCGTGGAAGCGGAACCGAGTCACATATGACGTCGAAAACCCCTCCCCCATTTTACACGAGTGACCAGAAGCCACCGATGAATGGTTCGGTCAGCTCTCACTTCCATTGACGATGCCTTGAATTCCCTTCTTTTATACGGGATGGTAACAACGCGGGGCAGACAGGGGGTAATGGTTCCCATTTCATGCTCAGATGGAGAGTGGAGATAGGGAGTGTCCACCTGCCACCCCCCGATCAGCTGCCCACCCCCCAATTATCGACCTTGTTGTCCACGTCCATACTTTCCTCCCGAGTAATGTATTCATACGAATACATTTCCTCATCAACACACGAGAGGGGGTGGGAGAGGAAATGCAATTCATGTCCTGCTTATCGTGCCATATACTCGCAACGGTCGCTGCAGAATTTTCTTTGCTGCTGCACTACTCGGTGTGCAGTTTCACCGTATCCGAAAGATCCCTGGAATATAATAAATACACTAGTAAATTCTTTCGACATGAGTAACAATTCCCAACTGAAGAATTTCTCTCTCGCCCTGAGATCTCCACATCCTTTTCCCTTTTTCTCCGTTGAGACCAGGGATATTTGATGGGACATATATTATTGAATATAAGAATTCATTATTAACCAATATTAAATACTTGAGTTGGAATATAACAATTCTAAGCTTTCCCCTCATTTTTTATATCCATAGCTCCTGTACCGAAGGCCTAACATGTCTAAAGCCTATTATTTCAGAACTTTGGTCTATCAAGAGATTGCCCATTCCACAAAAGCTTCCTTCAATCCTCGATTACATTTAAATCACCCTGTAAAAGTAGATTCCATAATTGATGAGAATATTGAATGGCTCTCGTGCATAACGTTTTTTTGCCCTGCATTTTCAGAGTTAATTATACTCCACCGAGATCGTATCCTGGATATCTCATTTCCCCATTATTTCGTCAGGTGCCCCCGCATGAATTATGAATTGGGTCCATATATTGACATCGCCAAGAGTGTTTGCCGAGACCCAGACGAAGCTGTGACGTGCGCTCGATGATGATCAATGTGGATTGCGTGTAGGAAAATTTCGTGTCCCCTGATCGGGATAATACAAAATTTCATGTATTTCAGAATTTGAGCAATCCTTCAACCAAGCACAAATTTCTGCAACAAAAAATGAAGCACCACTAAAATACTCACGGAGATCAAGTGATTGAACTAAAATTGCCACGAAACAAGCAAGTGAATGCCCGTTGGGAAAAAAAATATCATGACTTCACAAAAATACCCACCATAATTATCTGCTTTGACTAGCTACGTACAAGAGGGCAAGACCATTTTGCTTCCAAAAGGGAATGGCGTGCAAAAAATATAATATACTCGTGGTCAGAAAGAAAGCGGAGCATTATCAGATGCCATCGGATTCTCGGTGGAATAAACCGAGAAACTAGCTTCACCCAACAAGGAGAACATAGAGGTATTTCCTCTTTCCTCATGGAGGTATATTGTGTAATAATCAGAGGTATCTTTGTGATGTCCCTCTTTCTCTGGCCACTAGTATACGTGTTACTATCACTATTGCTGAGCAGGGCACACGAGAATCCTGAGATATGAAGCGGTTTCAGGACGGTTGATAGCATTGGAGTTCGATGAGATCCGCCATTCCCGCATCGGAGCAGGATGTGTCGGAATAATACTCGAGGAACGAGGAGTCCGAGAGCCCGAAACGATCATCGTGATCCCCGAAGCCAGGACCCGCGGGACCCGCGTACCAGGACCGCGGGAGTTCCGCGAGAGCCGACGTGATGCTGGTGGCGGCGGCGGTGGAGGTCATGGCGCAGGGATTCGTCGTGATGGTGTTGCCCTGGGACCCAATGTTCACGGTAACGTTTCCGACGTTGACGGTGAAGTTCTCGCCGGGGTCCGGTTGGCCCTCGAGCACGCCGAGCGTCTGGCTCAGGGCCCAGATGTAATTGTGGGCGAGTCGAAGCGTCTCGATCTTGGTCAGCTTTGTGTCCTCGGGGAAAGTCGGCAGGACGCAGCGGAGCCGATCCAACGCCCGATTCAGCATGTGCATCCGGTTCCGCTCGCGGTCGTTCGCTTTCATTCGCCGGTGCCGCCTCATTCGCAGGACCTGAGTCGGGCTTCGGGCTCGGACCCGCGGTCTCGAGTATCTCCGCTTCTTTCCCGCTTCTCCTCCGTCCCCTTCCTCCTTCTCTTCCTTCTTAATGTTATTTCCTTTCCGCTTCCGTTTCTTCTTTTTCTTTTCTTCCTCTCCCTTTTCTTCTTCCAGCTTTACCAGTTCCTCCTCCACGTCCATCTCCTCCCAGACTGACCTGCACAATAATGAGAGTGCATAATTAGATGGATCAAATGACTCTTGGGAGGAAAAAAAATGCTCCGATGGAGATTGCATGATGATTAACCAGCTGTGGTTAATTAGCGAGGGTGGAAATGGATATTATGAGGCAGATGTGGTCTTTTTCCCTCCCCCTCGCTTTCTCCTGCTCCCCCTCCCAAAAGATTACAGGTAGTGTGCACCTGATGGAATGACGTTTCGGCCTGATGACGTCCTACAGCTAATGTTTGCATCCAATGTCGGCATGATGAGTCAAGTCCAAGCTATCAATCATGCCCTTGTTCTATGCTGACTGGAAAAAAATTATGGGTAACGATTCGAGCATCGAAGAGCATCACTCTCTTTCACTATGCAGTAAATGTAATTTGCCCGTTTCTCTAATGCTTCCCTGATTTCATATGGCTTGGAGTCATATCTCAGAACTAGTGGGGCAATTTTACCAAGAGTTGGAATATAGGTTCAAACTGCATTGGATTTCAACATGTGTGAGGGGCATTCATTCACAAAGCAAACACAGGCACAAAATGAAGGGCTGAAAGAAAAAGTGGTCTACTGTACTTGCGGAAAATTTTTTCCTCGAACTTCACACGAAAAGAGTGAATATTCCAGAGACCGGTATCATAAAAGTGAGAAGTGGGTTGAATGGATAGATCATTTGTTTTTTTTTTTTTTACATAATCCCTAAAAACGATCATTTTGAATTAAGGGGGAAAGGTCCTATGAGGACTAGCTCTTCGAATATATATGGGGTAAAATGATAAATTCTCAGGTAAAAAACATGAGGGAGGAAGACGAGTCAGCCGCATAATTTATAGTGATATAACCATTCTCACATCTATGGGTCCTTCTCCCGTTCCACATCATCCGGGCTGCGGTTATTACGAGCTTCTGTGGAAGGAATGCTATGATGTTACCCACTGCCATACACAACATTATTAAATAAGTATTATGAAACTTCAAATATTTTACACATTTGCAATGTCTTTGCTACCATACTAATATTATTTTTCCCATCGCAGCTTTTCCGGTTCTTCATGAACTCCATTTGTCAAATGACTGCCACAATGACCGATCAGGGTTCCAAAAACCAACTGTTCGGTAATTTTTTTCTCGGAACACTGAACATCAAAATTCCGAGATCCGACCCTACCTTTGGACTTGAAATAAAGAACAACATCCATAACTCGCTTATAACTTGTGATACTTTCAAGCCGATTCAAACTCATCGGATTCTAGCCGCATGAAATTTGAAGACCAGGAATGGCCCTATAGACCTGATACACCTGTTATGGAAGCAGTCGTGTCACAGACATCAGTCAGGATTTCCTCTACCCATACATAGAGTGGATAGAAGATTGAATTAATTATTAATTCATCTCGGCAGTCTATTCGGCAGCACACCTGATATGGGGGTATCACAGAGTTGGCAAAAACATAAGGTAAGTGAGATATTTTGGAGCCGACAAATGTGTCTCACTTTTTTAATGCATTCTCCGACAAGCGTCGCACTAAATGCCGATCAAATCGGAACTAATCTATGGAGATTGCCCGGGAACGATACCAACGCACTGAACCGTTGAAAGGAACTTATTTCAAATTTTCGGACAGGAGCACTGCAATTCCTGAGTGAGTGAAACTTTCAATATTCGCAGAGTCGCTAGCCCCATTGCAATTCACCAGTGTTCAATTGAAAAATTGGGCAGAAAAAAAAACTTATTTAAATAGAGAAATTGGATTCCAAGCCAGGGAGAATTTCGAATTATAGTCTGTATCTGTTACATGCTAAAACTAGATCCAGGAAACCTCCTAGTGCCTTGAATAATGACGCATCTGAGAAAACCCTGTTTGGACCTACAATTGTTTCAAGAACGGGGTGGATGCGATGAAGTTTTGTGCTTGGGATTGTACCCCGTGTAATTCCTGACATTTAATAGCGTGTGGGTGTAGAGGAAACAGGGGACTCACCAGTGCGTGTGCGGAGAGAAGGAAGTCCAGGAAGTCTCTGATTCGGATGGGGGAGTCGGACTCCCCTCCACAGAGAGGAAGGGCGAGGGGGGACAGGCCAATGAGAACGCTGGGACTCCGTCCCATCTCCACCAATCATAGGTCCGATTTCACGGCGCAGTGATTCCGGGGAGACCCCAAGCCTTTCCATTCCCCCCTCTCACTGCATTAATGGACTGACATGGGTTCGTTAACGTGATTTCTCCCCTCCCCACAACGCCCGTGTCCCTCCATACCATAATTCAGTTATTTTTCCCGAGTCCACACCATTTGAAAGAGACCTATTGGACCTAGCCTGGGTGCTATCGCACAACAGAGAACTCTTGCGCGAACAAAATCACGAGCTTTTTCATAATCAAAACCTTCAGGTTGTCAATGGCAGGGGTGGGGGAGGACTTAGATCCCCGATACTAAAATATTACATGCAGTGATGAAAGTCGTCCAGTAGAAGACGTACGAGAACGTTTTAAACGAGGGGCGTTTAATTCCATTGCTGTCATAAACAGATTGACTTCCATTCGCGCTATATTACGCCTAAGCATTCATTTGAGGAAAACGCCTTTAACCCTACATAGCATAGGTATTGTAAAAGTATTTGCGAAGGCATGTTGAAAATTTCATGTGCTTCATTTAAATGGTTTTAGAGATATTAATTTTTGAGATAACTTGTAAAAGTTTTTAAATATCTCTGCATTGTTTCGCAAGGGGCAGTTGGCTGACCTGTAAATTGCAGGAACCCACTTCGGCAAACATTTTTTTCAAGGTCCTATGAGACGTATGGAAACAATATTCCCGCTCCCTTTTGAAAATCTCGTGGGAACGTACCAATTCTACTTAGTTTTCTTCACTGATTGCACGAATGTTGCCTCGTGCACCAAGCGAGTGATTTCGAAGCATGCTAATATGATTGCATTATCTGAAATGCAGCTAATGAATGGGAATAATCCATGTAGAAATGGAGTGAACTCGACGCCATCTGGTCCGCATGAAAGGGTTCGTCAAAGAGAAACCGTGTCCAAATCCCCCTGCGTCCGATTCAAAGCCCTCTCTGTGTCGTTGAAAAAATTCGACATGTCTATATGCAGGTTGCGGTCTTTTACACGGCTTGACGCGATATTACACGCGCGTCGAGTCAAAGGGTTTCGCGGCTCAGCTGTGCCGACCCTGAATTTATTACTGCTCTTCATAAGCATAAAAAATGAAAAAAAAAGGAAACTGTCAGAATGAATGAAGAACCAACGAATGAAAGAAGTGCTGGATTGCATTGAGAGCTTTCGCCAGAAGAGGAAATCGGCTTACTTCCAATCATGAAAATCGACGTGCGTTTTCTGCGCTTAAAATACACATCACTAAATATTCATATACTCTTCCCCAGGTACAATTTTTCAAATATTCTGGATGGGTGCAACCACAATCGATTGTTCCAACAGAAGGAACCGTCGATCGAAATTAGGCACCGAACAGGGCAGGCGCTGAGTCGCATCGACTCAATAGTCGGAGTTGATGGTTGATGATTGATGAATTATTGATGAATTATTGATGAGATTCAGATCTTGAGGTGCTGATGGCGCTTGGGACTTGGATGCAACGAAAGATCATCGAAATCCATTGAAGTGAAGGGGGTAGCACTTGGTTTCGTTTATCTTGCGACTGTATTTGCATAGGGTAGGGTTCGGGTCGTAATGCTCATGATAAAGGGCTTAAAATCATTGTCATCTTCAATCAAGTGTGCAGTTAGTTTTAGCTCGCATTGTCCACCGATGATAAAGCTGCACTTGAATGGGTTCCATCCACATTCGGAAATAGATGCTTATCGTGCAAACACAAAGACGTCGGAAATATTTTACTCGGCGAATTAACTCCTTCGCTCCCTTATTTAGCTCCCTCAGCTCGCTTGATCAAACAATTTATATTTCAGACTCTCGTTACAGAAAATGAAACATTCTCTGGATACGAACTCGAATCCACAAAATTTTCCTCAGCCTCCAAATGCTATTAAAAAGAAAAAAAAGCAGAACGGAAGCGTCAGAGAAGCGTGAGATGGCATGAATGCCCAAACGGCTGAATGTCAGTCAGGTTCTCCGTGTCTTCAATCCATTTATCGTTGGGCCTCCCTCACAATCATCCTCCCTTTCCCCCCAATCCCCCCCTCCGTGCACTCCCTCCCCTCCCCCACCTCCTCCCATTTTCATCTTCAACTTTTTTCTGTCCTGTAACCACTTGTAATGCATGGATGGATTTTGTAACCTGGATAAGTGATGACGTCATCATCTTGTCACGAAACGACTAGTTGAGTCCTTTGGAAGACTCTTGTAGTCTGCTTATAGGCACGCGAGTTTTTGGTTCTCACTCTTTTCTAAAACCGAAAATTTCTTCGTGCGACGTAATTTCTGCAGATTGTTCGAGAGGCAGCACGCCGGGATTGTACCGATTTTCGGATCGAAGGAGGTTCGGCACTCATGTCGCGATCAATTAATAAGTGCATCGCATCTCTAAGCCTTTGATTGACCTCAGACTAACAATGAATTTTAACTCTCAAGCTTTCCGTTAATCCAAACAAACAAATTTGAGTGAGCATAAAGAATGATGAAGTATTGAAAGGCAAAACTGTTTCCTGCTCGCAGCTACTGGTTCCGAGAAGATATAACAAGCTGAACTGTTCTGGTCCAGTTAAGTTGGACCTATTTTACCAGAATGCAATCACAATCTATGTTCATTCCTAGACCAGAGATATTTTAGTGGAGGAAAAAGATGACCGCAAGAAAAAGCTTAGCAGTGGTGGGGTTGGTATGGTGGAGGAAGGTTAGAGGGAGGAGGGCGGAGGATGCAAGGTAGAAGATAGAGGGAGGGTGGGAGGAAGTGGGGGGCCTGGGGAGGAAGGAAATCATACCGGTACAGCATCAACTCCGACATCCGATGACCCAAAACAGAGACATGGCTAAATTTAACATTTGGGAAAACGAGTCTTTTTTTTTCACGACCAGAAGCGAAAGGGAAACGTCAAATCAGCTATCCTGACATCATTACTTTATTTTTCCCAGGCTTTCAGAATGAATTTCAGAGATGGCGGGGAGTTATGCTTTATCCGTCATGCATTGTGAAACTATTCTCTTCTATAACATTGTTTCAGCCATTGTGAATAATTGTGAAGTCGAGGGAATTGCAGTATTCGTAGTATTAGTGGCGTTTGGTGTGGTGATGTAAGCCTCCATTGGTAGTCAACTTCATACCAATATCATGCGATTCTCGAGACGGCGTGACGAGTAGATTGACGACCGTTGTGAAGGCCTGGGACACAAATATTTTCGGGACCGGAGAGAGAATGGCGTGAAAGGTGAGGCTGAAGGTAAATCTCATAAGCTTAAGGCTCGTGGGATTAATTCAGAAATGCGGAAGCAGCTACAGTGGAGTGACGCCAGCTGGTTTCTCCAACCCGGATTATTCTTAGAAAGGTAGGAGTCGATACGAAGGGCATCTCCGCGATTTTGAAGCTTGCCCTTTGGACCTTTGGACCTTTGGTCTTTCGTTCGCCTCCATTTCCTCTCACACGATTCCGCCGTTTCGAATTTGGAATTCCAGGAAGACTCGGCGCAGAAGGCCTCTACGACAAAGATTGTGATGCCGATCCTCTTTTCCCCGACGTACAGCACGAACTCTACGCTGATATGAAGCAGAGACAGCCGACACCGGATCACGACTCGAATCGACCGTCGTCCGGTTTATCTTTCCATCCATTTCCGATGGAAATCGCCCGAAAGCTCTCATCGAGTAATTGAGCAGAAGGTCCTCGATCACTGAATACTTTCAAAACCTTGCCGGTTTCGATATCTGGGACGCATTCGAAGCGGTTCTTCAATGTTTTCCCAATATCCGACATACTGCACGACGGAAAAGGTGAGGTTGGAATCAGCCAATTTGGCGAAGCTGGCGAAGTGACCATCACGGTAGCGGTCATGCACGATGATGCCAAATAACCAAATTGCAAAGGCAAAAGCATACGTAATTCAGATCCTTGGAATCTTCCCCATCTATGTCGAGAGATGCAACGGAAATTTTGTTGAAATCACCTGCTTTCGGGGACAAACTCTTCCTGACCAACATTTTTTTTCCAAGTTGCATCATGTCAACCTTCAATATTTCACTTCACATTGGAAAATTCGCGTGGAAATCAAGCGGGGAAACGCTTGTCCGTGTTTTAAAAGAATATTCTCGCGATATCTCTCACACAATATGCAAATCAAACGAGGAATCCAGTCCATGAAAATGTATCCACGACGCACGGAAACGATAAATTTTGGCAACGATATGCACGAGTTTGTCAGGCTGTACTGATCGCACAGAAGGTGCAGGACTCCACACCCTGCAGGTCTTGGAAGACAAAGAAGGAAAACAAACGACGAAAGTTAGATGGGAGGAGAGGAATTTCACTCCGCTTATCACATGCGTCCGGCCCTCGCATTAAGCTGGTACGGAAAAGCCATCATCACGATGCCATCATCAACAAGGCCATTTCGTACCTCATGCCGTAACCTTTGTCATCGATGGGTTAGGAGTACGGATTACGGATTAACGATAGATTACGGATGGATCGAACCTTCGTAGATCATTTATCAATCAATTTAATCTCCGGCAAATTCTCTCTCCAATAATTTTCCCCCGTCTTTTTTCTGGACTCGTTACGAACGAGTTCTGTTGATTAAAAAGGGTTGAATAAATTATGGAGACCGTGGCGAATCCTTCTTGCTTCGTCCTTGCGGTTGCATCAGAAAGCCTTTTTTACATTTTTGTCATCATTGACAGGCTTTTTTCACGCTTATCAAAAGGGTTGCAGCTGAGATTCAGCTGCTCCTCGCGCAACGTTTTTTTTTTTTAATAGGCAGTTTTCCAGGGGAAAGAAGAGGGGAAAGCATTTACTTATTGAAACTATCTGCATTTCACAGCAACAAGTGGTCAAATAAATACGAGAATCGCTACCAGTAGTGAAGAAGAGGCTCGGTCAATACTTGAGCATTTTAAGACGAATTGTAATTTTTGTTCTCAGCGATATTCTGAGGTGAAACGCCATTTTTGGCTCAACTGCGGCCCTCGTGCGACGTGCGAATGAGACCCAATCCATCATTGCTTGGGATCGATAAATTCCCGACGGTAATTCTCTTGATGATGAGGAATTCGGACTTGAAGAAGCTGAAATCCAGACGGGACACTGGCTTCGTGCTATAGTCGCCATCTCATAAGAAAATGAGGCCTTCAAAAGCAGGAATATTTACCCTTTAATGCATGACGTTGCAGGTATTCTACATTCCAAATAATTTTTTTAAGAATGCGTAGGAAGTGAGCTCTAGAGATAAGTCGGAACGTAGCAGATGTGCGACAGTCCTGTTACCCCAGTGGTCGCTAGGTGCCATAGACTCCTGGTTGCAAGAAAATAAAATATGCATGTCTTCGTCATGTGACAGACTGACGTTGTTGACGCAATTATTTTCAACTTTACACTGATCCTTCAGGTTCATCCGTAAATAACAACAATAACATTTTTGGGCCTACAACTTACGAATTTGAGGAAGGAATTTTTTCCCCCACTTTTCCCGTGTTCTAGGACCCACGTAAAACCTACCAATATTTTTTTCGCCGAAAGAGCATTAAAGGGTCAAGGCAGATTTTCGAGACACGAAGAGCTCCATCAAGGCACATGACGATGACGGGAGAAAAAATCCCGAGAAATCCCGCATCGAATCGATTCCAGCGATTCCCTCGTGGAAGAAGCAAGCTCACGGGGTCACCCTAAATGTCACGACGTAGAAATATCACAATGCCCGTCGCATTCCCTCGCCGCTTTCCGCCGTGGGATCATTAATCTCGCGGACAGGTACGACTGCAAATAGCGAGAAAACAAACTGTCGCAGCTCCAGTTTCTCCGGTGGAGAATTTTTTTTTAGCATTTCGCATATGTCGTAAAACGACTCCTGCACCGCCTCTGCACCGCCTCTGCACAAGGTGGCTAGCGGAATAGATTGTTCCTGATAGTTTCGAATCGAGAGAAATCGCAAAGCACGGTTAGAACTCTGCGATTGGCACGAAGAATTGGGAGTCCCCGGACGAACAACACCTCGATTGATGATGCCTTGAGCCTTGCATCTGTTCGCCTTCGATGCTAATCGACACTGACTGAAAAATGAGCACTCGTTCCGTCTATAATTACGAATGCGATCGTGCTCGTATTTGTCGACGGATTATGAATGGCCTCGGGTCCCGCCTCGATGGCACCGATAATAATAATTTTTACTCCTCTCTGCTCTCGTAGTCGGGCAGAAAAGCAGAGCATATTGCAAAAAAAAAGGGAAGGGAAAACAAGACCAGGAAGGGGAGAAAATCGGGGCTTTACAGCCCCGCGAAAAAGGGGGAAATGCCGTAATGAGAGCGATCGGGCGTGAAGAATTTTTTAGAGGGGCTGAAGGGGTTCTTGCCGGATTACCTTCATGGGGGGGAGGGGGGTAGGGGCGGGGGGGAGGGAGAGATAACGCGAATGACATGGAAAAGGGGTCTTATTGTCCTACCAGCTGCAGCTTCTCCGTTTCGATGGGCTGCCTCGATCACGATCGTCAAAGACAATGGATCGATGGAAAAAAAATTGAAAAGCCCCGATCCGCTGGTTGAAACGGATGTACGGCGTGGGCCGACCCCCCCCCCCCCCCCATTCCGGTTCGACGGTTAAAATCCATATGGGGGGGGGGGGGGGGCCCCCCCCCCCCCCCCCCCCCATTCCGGTTCGACGGTTAAAATCCATAGAAATCGATTCGGAACGACGTTTGAAAAATTTTCTCGTGGCATTCTGCAATAGCAGAAAATCCATGGAATGGCAAGAAAATTCGCGAGAATTTGCGAGACCGGAGAGGTTCCAACATCAGATTAATTTCAAGAGAGCCGCGCGGAATAAATTTCAATCGAAGGTTCGTGCTCGGGAAAGTGAATTCCGTCTTAAACGTTTCGATGAGATTTGCGTGTTTGCACGGACGATGAGACGCAGGACACGCGACCGAAATTCTCTGCATCGTTTTGACCCTCTTTTCGTCTGATGGGGGTCGCGTGTCGCGGGAGTGACCCCGAATGCGATGAGCAGGATATCCGGTGTTTGCAAGCAATAACGTTAATACCATCAATGCGAATCGCATTCGCGTCGATGGCAATACCTGTCCGAAAACACGGCGCCGCCCAAGGATATCCAGATAACCAGATCATTATATTTTGCTTGGATTTATTCGCGTATAGAGATGTCAGAGTTGTTTTCCCGTCCGGGATGAAGCCGGTGATTTGTGTGACAAGCGCGTGCATATGATCTTCTATTACATGGATATATATATGTATATGTATTACAGCACATAGTCGGTGTTTGCGCGAAAGGGCCTTAACGCCCGAGCGACCCCTGGTCATTATGTGCCGAAAAAGAGAGGGGAAGGGTTTCCGAGTGAATAGTACGGTCAACAGAATGAACTCGACACCTTTGAAAATGGTAGGAATGGTTAAATACGGTTGGGAGGAATTTTACTCTATGAAAGAGAAGCATTTATCTTTTTACATCTCATATTATTATCCATCATGGCAGCAGAATATTTTGGCAATACTTTGCTCACAGGCGCAAAAAATGAAGGAGCATCAGACTCAATGAGCAGCTGCAGAAGAAAACTTGGGAAATTCAGCCTCCCACTCCCACCGTCCCCGAACAGGTTTCATTCCTGGGGACAGTTTCTCGAAGCTTCTAAATCTTTTCTTTTTCTTAAAACGTGCTAAAACACGGCTATTTCAAATCTTTTTCTTATTTCCTTCTTAAAAGCGGTTTCTCGAAAGTCCTAAACTTTTTCTATGCTAAATCTTTTCTTGCATTTAAGAAAAGTTTTAGCTTGGAAAAAGAGAGCCAAGGAAGTCTTAAACTTTTCTAAAATGATCATCAGCTTGACCTGCATATTTTTGTCATTCTAAATGGTAAGCTAATATTTTGTTTCTCGAAGGAGCATTTGTCCCACATACTTTCTTTTACATTCGCATGAGACAGGGCGACACGGGAACGTTTTCGCAGGCGAAAATTGCTGAGGAGGGAGCGTGTTTTTCGTGATCACCTTAATTCTCTTGAAAACTATAGGGATGATGAGCTACGACATCGATATCGACTGTCGAGATCCCTCATCCTGGAGATATGTACCATAGCGAGTGCTGACATTCAAAGAGGTACCTTCAGTAGTCAAGCATTGGCTCTTCAACTAATATTGTGCTGTACATTGAGATTCCTCGCTACTGGTGCCATCTATTCCGTGTTGGGAGATGGGTTAGGTATCTCCTAGTCATCAGTTCTCCGTGCCATTCATACTGTCTTTGAAAATCTTGCTCAGGGCGTGCGAGATTTTGCGAAATTTCCCTCATCAGTAAACGAAGTGCACAGGGAGAAAACTGATTGAGGAATTTCAATTCTCCAAAGTCATCGGGGCAATTGATGGAATTTATATCCCCATTGAAGCACCCAAGGACAGGGAATACCTCTACGTGAACAGAAGAGCCTTCCACTCCCTGTATGTACAAATCGTTGTCGATAGGAAAATGAATATACTGAGTCTTGTTGATGACTATCCAGACAGATCCCACGACAGTCTCGTTTTTTAGAGCAGCTATCTCGCATTGAAGTTGCCTCAGAAGGAAGTTCCTGGAGATGGTTGGCTGCTGGGAGATTATGGATACCCACAGCGAAG